CTTACGTTGCTACCAGAAACAGCACTCTCTTCGCCGGACGAATATTCAAATTGTCCACATTATCTTCACTGCATCGCTTGTGTTCATATATGATATTTGCTCTCGTCCCTTTCTCGAATCTCGTTCATCACTCAGGGACCTGCAATTATGTTGTCATGCGTTGGGCGAAATTGGACAATCTTACGGTAATGCCACGAGAGCTTTGGAGGTCATCATTCTCGTAAAGAACGAATGGCAGAGACTCGCAGCCTCTTCTGCTGCTTCACAGCCCCGTCCCCCTGCAAAACGGCCAAGTATTGATATCTCTGCTGAAACTCTTCAGGGGAGTGGAGATATTGAAAGCGAACGGCATACACGCCGGCAACGGCTGTCTATGCCAACGATAGATCCTCCAGATCCGTCCGCCTTCATGGCTGGCATTCTTCCAGAATATACAGTGCTCCACGAAGGGCAAGCGACTCAGCCGTTGAGTGCGATGATGCTAGAAACACAAGAGATTGTATCTGAGGCGTGGCACTTGCTTGATGGTGGCAGTATTGGGATGAGTGACATCGATTCGGCAATAGACTGGTTGGACGCTCAAGCCCACGAAGAAGCCGCAGATAATCCCGGAATGATTGGACACAATACCCAGATTGTGAATCATGGACTGGAGACTTTGAATGATGGATTGGAATAACACGTCCAGTGGCGGACACACCTTCAAGAATGAAGACGGATTGGTGTGTTTCAGGCACAATGTACAATATCAGGTCGTACGGAACATGATCCAGGCGTCAAATTTTCAGGAGCATTCTGTGACGACAACAGACTATAGGCGGTGATTAACCGATCTTAGTGGATCTTATGATGCAAATCCGGACTTAGCTAGCAATCGGATTCCGGGACCATTTTCCGATCTTGGTTTCTAATTTTTTAATTTATCCGCATCTCGAGGCCACAGTACATGTGAATCGTCATTACAGATACCGTTTGAACCTGGGAATTTTTGCGCGCGAACCATGCACAGCTGAGTGCATGACATGATGTCTCGTATCGAGTCGTTAAAAAAGAGAACGAGGGGGCATTATTCATACTTCCTAGACTACAGATCGCGATGGTAAGTGTTGTTGTGCGATTCATACCTAAACAGGAGGCTTTGAGAATCATGATTTCAAGAAAAGAAACGGTTGTGAACAATATAATTAACATGTCATAGGAACGATAACGATATGTACGGTCACATTAACAATTCTGTATATAACTATATGTTAGTCCCTCCTGCCAGAGCGTCCTCGTTGTATGTGGCTCCAGTCTAATCGATGTAGGATTGACTCCATCGTCAACAGTTTTCTAATTGAGCGTGACCATAATGATCCAGCTTTGTCACCATGTCGAGGATTGGTGGTCCATTCACATACCGACTACATTGCTCCGATGTCATATCCCTGTGTTGCAGTGCTCGGTCTGCGGGTCAATCACATTGGCAAAAGCAGTGTCACCTACGAGGTGGGCGTCTTCACGAAGGCTGATACTGAGGTTAAGGCGGTCGGTGAATTGGTACATGTGTTTGTTGATAGCAAGACGGGAAAGCCAGCACCGGACGGCATTGACAGGTTCCTCCGAAATGCCCTAGAACAAATTTCTAGTCCAGACATCCCCAGTAGAATTTAGTGGAGCTGAACAGCATTCAGATTCCAAAGATGATTCTGGCTCGGGAATAACTCCCGCTGACTCATCGCGAATGCACTGGCTAATACCAACTATGCTGAGCTCCTGGCAGCAGCCGATAGCGCGCGTCAATCTCATTTTCTCCCTGAAGCCTGGCACCAGTTATCCCTGTTATTCTGAAGCCCTGCTATACAATATCGGCGTTAGAAGCCTTGGTAATCGGCAATCATCGCCATGGACTCCAGCAAACCAATGCAACCCGCAAAAAGAAGGCTTTCTCGTAGGAGAGCTTCCAAAGCATGTTTGAGGTGTCGTGAAAGAAAGGTCCGGTGTGATGTGACTAGGTGCATCGTACCTTGTACGAACTGCCGCCGGGATGGCTGGCACTGCAAAGTCGTACCACGAGTAACAACAAGGTGCGCACTCGAAGCACAAGACCTTTTTGAGACATGTGCTGATAGATCAATCGCAGACCGTCGCTCACTTCGAGCTTGACTGCTCGACTACCTGCAGCTCAGTGTCTGATACGGCGGGCCACTTTGGAGACACCGGCAAATTGTGATACTGTATGTTTAGAGCCAGAAATAGCAGACAGCAGCGATGACATACAGAGGAGTCCGTCGGATTCACCCCCGGGTCTCATCGACGACCCTTTCATTCAACCGACCCTTGCGGAGCCCCAGATATCAGAATGTATAGACCTGGAGGAAACTGGATCGAGATATGGATACCCGAAAGAATTCGATGTTATACATTCTCTAGCCAGCCGCACCAGCTCTACCTATGCGTCGATGCGGATCTCGAGCAGGACGCTTCTCAGTATGTTTCTTTACGAGTATTTTCTGCACGTCCACCTCGAGCTTCCCATACTTTGTCAAGGCGACTTTTCCGATATCTTGCAACCACAGTCGGAGCGTGATGCGCAGCCGAGGAGAACGCTACCGCCAATCCTGTTATATGCAATGCTATATGTCTCTTGTCCAGTAAGGTCCCTAGTTTTGGTGTCATTTGAAAATTACTGACTCGATCAAGTTTGTTTCACCGCACTATCTTCAAGCCCTTGGGCACTCCGGAGTACACGGAGCTCGCGCAGCATTCTATAGTCAGGCAAATGTATACAGCCAAATCCTTAGTGATTTCTATTTCACTTATGATTAGTATCGCTAACTCGCCATAGCTTCTGCATCACTCTAGAGCCGAGAAAGACTGCGTCACTATTGCACAAGCCGCACTTCTTTTGAGCTGCCGGAACCCAGACCTTCGTATGAGCTCGGGCTTTTGCAATACCGACTGGCTTCGTGTTGCTTGTGAGCAAGCCCGGGCTGCTAACGCTGACAAGATGACGACCTATTCAAGTCCGAGTTCGTTTGAGAACACGCAGTTCGAAAAGAAAAGGCAGTCCACATTGAGGCGCCTTTGGTGGGGCTGCATCATTCGGGATCGCATTATGTCGCTGTGCCTGCGGAAACATCTCCAAATTCCTGGTCCCTCCAGACTCAACAAAGATAGCTATCCAGATTACCATGACCTCTTGGAGGAGATACGATCCATGTACAAACACGCTAGCGAGGTAGATCGCTCACTTGCCGCACTCATGACTCTATTATTTGAGTTGTGTATCGAGCTCACAGATGTCTTGACTCTTGTTTATCCTGAAACGGAATGTTCCTCGATGGAAGGCCTGACCGGCTCGCGCACGCTGTCTGGGATAAAAGCTCGCAGGTTAGCATTGCAGAGTTGGGCTAGTAAGGCGACCGAAATCGCCCCGAGTCTAACTCCTGGAATGAAAGAGTCCGTCGAACCGGGCATTTGCCAGAACTGGACTGTGATATATACGTGTCTAATCTGGATTTACTACCAGTGAGTCATTGAGTCTCGAGTACATCAAACCCGACTTCAATTAAACAGTTAGTCCAGCTCATCTCAAATATCTTTATTCATTTATGAGATCCAAGTCACCATGGCTATTGCACTTCCACAACAAAGAGGCTTGTCATGTTCACACAAAACGACCATGACTGAATGCCAAGAAGGAGTCTCAAGTGCTGCGCAAAAAGTGGCGTACTATCTCAATGAACTATCGCAATATAACCTGATCAACTGGCTTCCCAGTAGCGCCATTGGATGTACGGCTTTCCCATTGGCGTTACACATCATAGATGCAAAACGGGGTCTAGACTCATCGGGTCTGGCGATGAGAGCATCTGGCATGCATAGCCTATCGACGTGTCAACAGCGGTTGAACGTCCTCATCAATGCGATGAAAGAGTTCCATAAGCACTATGAGGGCGTGGGCTTGGTCTCTAGGGCTATTAGATATTTCGTGGAGTGCACATATCTGGATGAATTCACTCTGCCGCGCTCTGATGGTGATACTCTGGGGCCATCAAAATACACACACCCTAGACGCCTCAGTCGTACTCTCACACTTGAGAATGATTCGGCCTGCTGTCTACGTATGGCATTGACGATTGACTTGACTCTCAGGCAGGGCTACCTCCCAGACGAGCAAGATTTTCCTAAGGAACTGAAGACATTGCTCGATGGAAATGGCTGCTTTATGCCCATCATCTTTGGCCGAGGTTCTCGCACTATAGATAAACCGATGTGGAAGACGAAACTTCCACTGGAGACCTTCCCAATTTCCCCGCAGGCAAATCTCTCGGGGTGGGTGGAGAACGACAGGTCATTGTATTTGGCGCACGAACTAGGGCTAGGACCGTAATACTCGTAGATCTACTGTTTCAATGTAAGCATCGCCTGATTCAATGTGCTACCCTCTGAAGTATAGAATATATCTGATTCCACAGCAATGACATCCACCACTCGGGGATTAATTACTGCAAAGCTGCCGCAGTGACCAATGATGTTGAAAGCCGAACACCAACTCTAGTCTTCCCACACGGAAGTTGAGTTCCAGCACACCATTACCTAGCTTGTATTAGTGTGCTTTTGGCTACCGCTCAAGGAAGTTCACCCAAACAGCGACTGATGCATCCGCACAATGTCTTTGGCCCGTTCTGTAGGTTCAAAACCCTCTGAAAGATGCGGGTTCGCCAGAACTAAACTTTGTGTATGCTATTCTTCTCACAATGTCTTCTCCAACAGATATTGCCCCGGCTGCGGCGCTGTGGGTGTTAGTGGTCCATGAATCAACGACCGGGGTGAGAGACTAATCGCAGCAGAGCCCCTCGGAAATCGTAGGCAAACGGAACTCTCCTGGGCTCGTAAGGCGCTAGGTCCTACCGAACCTCGGATGTCGGGCCATACCAAACTACACTCATATTCGACCAGAGTGACCATGTCTGTAGCTTCGTCTTTCAGATCATCGTGAACTTCAAAAATTCAAGATGGTCTTTTACTCTCAAAATCCAGAGATCAACGGTAAGAAGGATTTCAATCTCGCTTACTGTATGCTTACTCCAAATAGTCCCTCAGGGCCAAACACTGTGGTCTTGGCTTTTTGAGTCCACTGATAGACCAGACCGGCCCGCTGGCTTCACCGATGTTATCACAAAGCAGCACATCAGCTATCAAGATCTAAAAAGCTATACATCCTACATCTCAACAGTTCTCAGTACCGACTATGGTCTCCAACAAGGCGAAGTTGTTGTCATTTTCAGCAAAAACTCTATCTGGTATCCGGTAGCAACGTTGGCTACAATTAGAATCGGAGCCATTGCTTGTGGCGTGTCACCAGAATACAATGCCGAAGAGCTCTCATTCAGCCTGAGAGTTAGCAAGGCGAAGTTTATATTGACGGAAATTCAGTCGCTTGACCACGTTTGCGCCGCAGCGGAGAGCTGCCAAATCCCCAGCAGGAACGTCATGCTCATGGGCGGAAAGCGGGCTGGTGTGACGAGCTTGGAGGACCTGTTGAGCAGAGGCAAGGCTCGAGCCGACTCTCTGGTATTGCCATATAAGATTCCGCAGAACATGACAAACCGCGATGTGTGTGCCTGCCTTTGTTTCAGTAGTGGCACCACGGGGCTTCCAAAGGCAGTCATGATATCTCACGCCAACATCATTGCGCAATGTCTTCAAATTCAGCAAATTACACCGCCTGATCACAATAAGATCCTGGCAGCGCTCCCGTTTTATCACATCACTGGCATTGTTCATCAGCTCCATCTCCCGATAGCCCTCAAGGCCCAGGTCTACATTCTTTCAAAGTTCACACTAGACTCGCTTTTACGAACTGTAGCAGACAACAAGATCAAGGAGCTTCTCATTGTACCACCAATTCTCATTCGCCTTGTTCGCGAAGACTCGATCGTGTCTAAATACGATCTGTCGCACGTGACCCGGTTCTCCTCAGGGGCTGCACCTCTCTCACGCGAGATACTCGACCTTCTTGAAAAGAAGTTCCCCAATACCGGCTTCAAACAGGGCTATGGCATGTCAGAATCATGCTCGGCCATCACGTCACACCCGCCAGACAAATATGCATACAAGTACGCCGACAAGGTCGGCATCCTAGTGGCATCGACACAGGTCAAGATCGTGGATCCTGACACTGGTCGCGAGTGCGGAGTTGGTGAGGCTGGCGAAATATGGGCTAAAGGGCCGCAAATAGCTATGGGATATTTGGACAATCCGCGCTCGACAGCGGAAACGTTTGACACGGACGGGTTTCTGCACACTGGAGACATTGGAAAATTTGACTCCGAAGGTCTGCTCTCGATAACGGACAGAATGAAAGAGATGATCAAAGTCAAGGGGATCGGTGTTGCGCCGGCAGAACTTGAGAATGTCTTGTTGGGACACCCCATCGTGCACGACGTTGCGATCTGCGGGATTCCCGATGATCGCGCGGGGGAGAGACCGAAAGCCTATGTTGTCCTGAAAGAGTCATGTGAGCTTTCTCCAAGGGATGCAGGGCATGAGTTGATTCGATTCGTGAAGTCAATGAAGGCTAGGCATAAGTGGCTTGCTGTTGTGGAGATTGTCAACCAAATTCCAAAAAGTCCATCCGGAAAGATTCTACGGCGTAAGCTACGACAGGCATTTGATGGTGCCGGGAACACTGTCGTCCATAATCCAGAATTTGTAGCCAAGCTTTAGGATAGTCAATTGAAGTTCTTGTAGACACTACTGCTACAGCGAAGGTGCCTTGAGCTTGCTGATAGCACCATGGTCTGCAATTGTGGTTTCTAAACTTTACCTATCCCACTGTACCATAGATAGGCAGGTCTCGTAGAATCCGTCTTTCGATTACCGTGAACTCATGTTGGTGAGACTGTCTCTTGCTGCCGAACTACGTAATAGGCCTAGCCTGCCACACGGAGCATGACTGATTACAAGTTGCCAGATGACACATTTAGTCCCTGCATATCTCAATAAGCATGAAGCTAGGACCAAGCTGATCCTTGGCAAATTTGCGTACGCCCGAAACCCATGTCAGGAGTGGGAAGAAAAATGACATGACTAATGACCCGGGAGAAGTGGGGCAAATTCATAGTTCTAAAGTAGTGCGGTGGAAATCATGATCCGCCTTGAACATGGGCTGTCTAAGGTACCTGTCATGAATCATGTAACTGAGTACTCGAAGATTGACACACTCCACGATGGATGTCAATAATCTTCTCAAACAACATATGTCCAGATCACAAGACACTGATTGTGTCATCTTTGATTCAACATAGACTTTGCTGGTAAAGGCATCGAGTGCATCAGCTTCGAACCCACATAGAAATTCCAGATAGCCTCTCTGTGGGCTGCTCCAAGAAACTCTTCATTTGGATAATTTACCTTCGAAATGGAACTCGACCCTCATTTGACAAAGCTCTTCCTCAACAATGAGGTATGGCCGAGAAGAGCTATTATTTGCCTTGCAGAAAGATGATACTGACGGTCGCAGTGGGTCGAATGCCGAAATAAGAAACGGTCTGTTGAATCCACATCGAGAGTTCGTACCTTTGTTGACATAACGGATGTAGCCTTTCGGTTTATAATCCTTCTACTGGAGAGCTCGTCAGCGACCAAATACCGGTGGCAGGCGACGAAGACGTAGACATCGCAGTGCAATATGCCAACGAAGCATTTCAGCCAGGGTCTCCTTGGAGGAGTATGAAGAATGTGGAGCGACAAGCTATTCTGTTGAAGTTTGCAGATCTGCTGGAAGCAAATCAGGAACGTTTGGCAAGTCTGACACGTCTGACACTTGGAGCACCATTTCATCCATTTGGGAAGTCTGAGATAGGAACAGCTATTGGGTGCTTCCGATGCAAGTAGCTTCTACGTCTTTCTGGAACTTGGAGACTAACAGGATCATGGGCAAGACTACGGTGGCTGGGTCGACAAATACCCTGGTCAGTCTTTTCCGGAAGACGATGGCGTTTATAAGATCGTTCGCAATGAGCCATTGGGTGTTGTAGCAGGGTGATTACATCCGAAACGGAGTCACGGCATTTGGCTGACTTAGTATCTAGTATCATTCCTTGGAACGGCCCTATGGCATCGACGGGCTTGAAAGCAGCCCCAGCCTTGGCTACGGGAAACGTTTTTATCTTGAAACCCAGTGAGAAGACGCCTTTGATGGCAGCCGAGCTTGGAAAACTAGTCATTGAGGCCGGGTTCCCTCCGGGAGTGTTCCAAGTTCTGACTGGAGACGGCTCCACTGGAGCAGCTCTTGCATCCCACATGCGAGTTGCCAAGGTCAGCTTCACCGGAAGCATCCCGACAGGAAAGGCTGTGCAAGTAGCAGCCGCAAAGAGTAACCTCAAGAGAGTCACTCTGGAGCTAGGGGGAAAGAGCCCAGCAGTGGTATTTGATGACGCCGATATGAAAAACGCAATCAACTGGTATGACTGTCTGATGGCATTCCCTGGACGTGGTTCACTAACATCCCGAATCAAGGACGGTCAACGCTCTTCTGACCAACACTGGACAGATCTGCTTTGCGGCCACTCGGTTGTACGTCCAGTCAGGAATCTACGACAAGTTTGTCGAAGAGTACGCACGTGCTTTCAAAGGCAAACATCAAGTGATTGGAGACCCGGACGTCAAGGGCAACGAGATTGGCCCGGTTGTGGACAAGTCGCAGTTTGACAGGATCATGAATATTATTTCGACTGCAAAGACAGAGCAACAAGGCACTCTCCTGTCAGGCGGAAATGCTCTTGGCTCCAAGGTAGGCCACTTGACAATGCCGAGCCTGTTACGCGCGCCACTAATTCTCGTACTAGGGCTACTTCATTGAGCCAACGATCTTCACCGATACGAGCGATGACGCTACTATTTACAAGGACGAAATATTTGGCCCTGTGGTGGTAATCAACAAGTTTGAGACCGAAGAGGAAATCATTCGGCGGTCCAACGACTCCAAATATGGATTGATGGCGGGAGTGTTTACACAGGACATTCAACGAGCGTTGCGGCTAAGTTCTGCCTTTGACTCTGGAGTGGTCGGTGTTAATTGCATCAGCACCATCACTTTCTCTTGTCCTTTTGGAGGTACCAAAGAAAGCGGGCTTGGACGCGAGATGGGAGAGCATGCTCTACGTGCATATACTGAACCAAAGACGGTTCTCATCAACATGAATTATTGAGTGGGAACTCTTGTACAATTACGATAGAGGATCAGCATGATACAGACCAGGACCTTGCACAGACAGATATCTTGAGCACAAATCTTATAGATTTTACACAGCACAACGATATACCAAGGTCTATGTGACTCGCGGAAGCTGACTTGAAAAGGACAGAAGGTAGGCAAAGCATTGGAGCATGCGGCAACAGTGACAGCCCGAATGGATGGCTCACAAGAGACCAGACTTGAAGAGGGTTACAAGTAAAGGACGAAGTACAATACAATACATGGCCGCCTGAGCTCCGCGCCCCGCGCGCTATAGGACCAGCGCCAAAGCTAGCATACAAGCGCTTCCAAAGTGTGGGACCGGACGCGGAGGTGTTTGTCATCTTTTCCCCGCTTCTTCCCGTACCCTGCGACCACCCCGCCCTGAACCTCGTCGCACCAGGAGAGGCATTTCAATTGTTTTGCCAGCAAGTTACTGGCTTAGCACTTGTTCCCCCCCCTCCCCCCTTTTTACGACGGCATCTGCATCTATCATTCATCCTACTGGCGAATCTCAACGAGCCAAAGCGTAAGATCACTGCTCTCGCCTCGCCTCCATCATGAGCGGCAATAGCCCTCGTGAGCCTGTGCAGAACAGCTCGTCGAAGCAGCGCCGGCAAAGGAACGTGTCGGCGCTTACGAAGGAGCAGGTTCAACATAAGCGTTGCGTTGACAGGCGCGCTCAGCGGGCCTTCCGGCAACGCACAAAGGACTGCATCACAAACCTCGAACAACAATTCGCTAAGCTTCAAGAAATATGCAATCAGAAGGATCGGGAGCTTCAGTTGGCCCACGAGCAGAACACGAACCTCATCAAGTGCTTGGAGAATGTCGTGTCTTGTGCATCAAGCGCCCTGATGCCCCTTGGCGGAAGTGCTCCTCAGAGAAGTAGCACCATCCCTGGTAGGAAAAATGCTCATGCTCTTTGATATTCTCTCCAGAAGGCTATGAGCGACTGACTGACTGGCCTGCGTAGATGAGCATCATGGGCCCCCGCATCCCGATTTGGAGTGTCTTGTAGATGCTGCGGTGCGTCTCAGCTCACACAATACACCCCAAGGATCCCTCAAAAGCTCCAGCGCCCCCATAGCAACGATCGGTCAGGGCTCGCCGCGGGTGCCCTCCCAAGTTGCTACGTCCTTCGATCTCCAAACTCCTCCTATGCCAGCCGTCATGAATCTATTGTCATCACGTGAATCCGAGAGCTTGCATAGCCATCCGGTCGACACCGTCGATCATTCTGGCCATCCGATGCTATCTTCTTCCCCTGCGAGCAGTCGCTCCATGTCATCACCATCTAGCTCAAGCTATCCGCAAGCTCCATTAACATTGGAGAGGAGCTTAGACCTTTCTCTCCAGCCAGGAGAAGGGGTAGGGCTGGATCATTCGCTTCAAGCAGATTGCCTCGTCTCGCTCCCTACCCCTTGCAGCACCATGATTATGAGCACCAGAAACGAGAACGCAATTTTTACAGTCATGCCTCCCCATCTGGCGCCAACTTGCCCATTGGATCAGATTCTGGTAGATTTTCGGAATTCTCGCAGAGAGCTCATCTCCAAGGGGGCTGCTTGCGAAACTATCCTCGGGCCGAGGAAACCAACTGTAAAGGCTTTGATCGACACGAACCTCGTCGAGTCTGTTCACCCTCTCAGTGGCATCATGTCACGGGTTCTATCTACTTTTCCATTTGTTGGTATGACAGAAAAGTTTGCTTTTTTCTACCTCATGTGTCTCACCATTAGGGTAAGTTGGCAATGTCTAGTCGAAACAGCTTGCCATATTCAATTTTTTTACGGGATAATCTGACACAGTTAGTGGCAAATTGACCCGAGCAGAGACAATTATACGGCCATGCCGTCCTGGCTGCGTCCTACTGCTATACAAATCACTCTCCCACACGCCGCTTGGATCGATAACATTCCTTGGTGAGTAACGAGAAACGCATCAAGCAAAGCCTTTTCTAATATCAACATATGCAGGCCGGGCGTGCGGGACCTATTGATAGAAAACCCTGAGGAGTACCCATTCCAGATCTTTTCGGAATACTATTCTCAGAACGTTTCTGTGAACTGGTCCTTTGATGCAATGGATGCTATTTCTGACATCAATGATGGCGGTGTGCTTCATTCAATATTCGAGAGACACCTTCGGAATCTCAAGAATTGGACTGTGTCCAAAGAGTTCCAAGCAAGGTTTCCTGCCATGACTGCTGCGATCTATGATCGCGGCTGACGCCAAGATAATTAGTAAACGGTATCTGATGTCAGTCACGAGAACTATATGCTAGATTTGTTGAATCAGACACTGTCTATATATAACGTTATCTTCGGAGATGATAAACGAGTCTTTTGCGCCGGAGACAATGAAGACAGGTGCCACCTCTACGAAATCTCACCGGCTCTATGGAATCTATCTATCTCGCAATCGCAAATATAAAGGGCCGAGGCTGCAACCTTTTAATAGCGTTGACATGACAGTGGCCTAGGAGGCGACCTTAGACATCTCGACGTGGTGGTCAGTAGCATGGTCATCCACATTTTGCGCTTTCCTCTCCTCGCTCGTGGTTGGCCGCCCTGCCTCCAGGTTATATCGATGGTGTTTGTCAAAGACATAGTCCAGCTCTTCCAGTGTCTTCCCACACGTCTGTTCCTCATGTCAGCATGGCGCCTAGAACTCGTTGTGTCAAAGACTTACCTCAGGAAAGAACAGATACGTGAAGGGTATATTCAGAGCTATCATGCAGCAGAATAAGAGGTAAAATTTCCACCCCGCCGTATCGATGGCATACGGTGTAATCAGAGCAATAACCTGTTATTTGCAAAATCAGCGCTATTTCGGGCAGCTCGAAACAAGAATCGCGTCACTTACAAACGTCCATAGCCACTCTGAAAAGGTAGCCACAGCAGAACCAATATGACGAATTTGGAGTGTTGTAATCTCTGGGGCATAGAGCCAAGGAATGCTGTTCCACGACATGCCAAAGGATATTTCGTACACGAATAACATTGCCAGGGCCATGTTCGCCGTTGCCGATGTGTTGACGGCGATTCCAACGGTGAACATGATCATGGATATTAATAGTGCCACTGAACCGAGCAGAAGCATTGGTCTTCTGCCAACCTTGTCGAGGAGAATCATAGGAGGGAATGTGCCACACCAGAAGGCTATCTGGATGCAACCGGCCACCAGACTGCTAGTCTCCCGCGATAATCCGACGTTGACTTCGAGGACGATGGTCACGTAAAAGGCAATGACGTTAATCCCCGTGAACTGCTGCCAGAGCTGAATGAGGAAACACAAGATGAGACGCCGTGTGTTTTTCAAGGGGCTCTGGTCGTTGATCAGGCTCTTCAGTGAGAACTTGACGGACTCCTCTTCCAGCCTAAGAGCATCGGCCATCTCGTCTTCCACAAGCTTTATACGAGGGTCATCTTCGGCACAGCCTTGCAATCTAGCCAATACACTGATGGATTCTTTCTGGTACCCGTGTGAGAAGAGCCACCTGAATAATCGATTAGCGGGTAATTCATGTTTGTGAGGTTTGAGAGGTACTAACCGAGGAGTTTCAGGTAGAAAAGGGAGCGTAAAGAGTGTAAAAAGAGCAAAGACATTCTGGAAGGCAATAGGGAATCGCCAGACAACCTGGATCACATTAGTCAGCTTCATACAGCCTGAGGACCTTGTTCACTTACCTCTCCTTCCAGGTTCTTGATGGTGCCGTAATCTAACCAGTAGGCAACCACTGTGCCGAACTATTGACAGTGAGAATCGAGAGAAAGGAATGGTTTCAAAAGTGAGGTCCTACAATGACTACAGATAGCTGAATCGCAACTGATCTGCCGCGCTTCTTCGCCCCTGAGCATTCTGAGACATAGACAGGAACTGTAGAGGTTATCATGCCTAGAGTATGTCAGCCGAAGTTACCACATCACTTGCTCTATGTTTTAGGGAGCGCAACAAACCATTTCCCACGCCGGAGATCAATCTCCCGACAATAAGCTGGGCCGCTCCGTAGATTGCAGTCTGAATGACGCCGCCTATAATCATAATCACACAGCCAATGACAATCGTCTTCTTTCGGCCCAGTTTATTTCCAACCAATCCGGCCACTACGCATCCTGCCAAACAGCCAACATTATACAGAGCAACGATCAAACCAAGGAAACTGGAACTGGGGTTTCCAATGGCTTTGAGGAAGCTAGGTTCTGTGACCAGGCCACCCAGAACGCCCTGATCGGAAATGTGTCAACACAATCCAATGGTCTTGGATTAATCCAATTGCTGAAGACATACCTGATCATAGCCAAAAAGCAAGTAAGCGCTTCCTACGCTACAAGTTATGGCTACGCGGAGACCTTTGCCGCGCAATCTGTTGGCCAACATTTCGAGCAGCTGTCAGCGATGTGCTAGTGTACAGTAGTAGACAGAGCGCGAGTGTTTGGGGATTCCTTAACGACGGGAGCAAGATCGCTTCCCAAATCTCGACCTCTTGAATGGCGGCGATATATGATTATGAGACTTGAGACTTAGCAGGAGAGTGGGTAAAGATCGAACATTTGCTGGGCCCCCGGGCCTTCCCCAGTGCGCCGGCCCCGAGAAGCGCTAGTACGCTCGGCCATGCCAGACTTCGGCTTGAGCCACTTTTCGAGTAAACCCGTGGGGATGGAATCCCGAACCGATCAACATCAATAACTTGTCCCTCGTTACCGAACGACCGCCCCTCATTTTCCCCTCTCTGGAGACCCCACACAGTCAGCTTGACTCATGCAGCTGATTAGCACCCCACAATGACATTGCTGGCAAAACGCCTCCTTTCCTGGCACACTCCACAGGAAAAGGAAAAGACGAGATTGGTGGGGCTTAGCAGGGATACGGGACTGCTTTCATCACGATAGGGACCAGGCCATCCGTAAGTCACGTAGGATCGAAGTACAGATTCCGAGGGCTCTCGGCGAAAGGTAATTATCGTTGAGTCCCAAGGGGCGCCCTCCCGTGGCGAGACCGATCGGGTACACGGAGCAATGTTAGAAGGACGAAGACTTGAAGATTTATTGACTCGGGGATGTAAGAATCCCATTAGGCCGAGGTTGAGTCTACTCTAACACGATTCCAAAACGACCGCTAGTCTTTCCTGACTCCATCATTGCAAGCAACTTATCAATATCCTGAATGTGATTGAAGGTGGTGATGTGTGCTTTGATACCATGTTTGTGGCTGAACTCGATCGCTTCTGGCATATTCTTCGGAATACCGCTGCTTTTTCCTGCAATGCGATACTTACCCAACAAAATATCCAATGCGCTAATAGATAGTGGACGTTGCGGAATACCCGCCACCATCAATAGACCGTTGATTCTATTTGCAAGTAACACGTGAGTCCAGACCGTTCGATCTTCTCGAGAGGGAGTCAACAGCGAGTTGGTAGAATTCACGTACCGTAGGACCTTTGGTGCGGTTTCGTAAGCCGCATTCGATGCGCTAAAAACTGCAGCGGCGTGACAACCTCCACCAGTGATTTCCTTGAGTTTAGCCTCGAAGTCTGGCTCTTCCAAGGTGTTTATGATGGCATCCGCACCGAGAGACTTGACATCCTCTAGTTGGGCATTCGAAATATCCACTCCAATGACTTTGAACCCCATCGCCTTGGCATACTGCACCGCTTTTATATAGTCTTGTCAGACTGCTTGTCCAAAGCCTTTGTCATGCTTGGAATTACCCACCTAGATGCCCGAGACCGCCACAGCCAATGACCGCGATCCACTGGCCCTCTTGCAAATTGCATCCCTTCACTGCATGGTAGGCTGCGATTTGGTGAGCAAGGGAACCCCCTGAAAGCGAGGTATTCGGGGCCATGCCACTTCTGAAACAATTTATGAAAGAGTGGCGACTTACCAGTAACTCCGGCGCAGAATAGAGGTGCCGCTGTAATCATGTCCATGTCCTTGGGTAGAATCATTGCGTTTCTATAGTCAGATAAGGAATACTCGGCGAAGTGACCAGGACATGAGAACCCATGCATTCGTCCAGTGCCTTTCTCGCAGAACAAATTGTGAACTTGACATCCTTCGCAATCATCTGAAAAGCACAGATCAGCACCTAGTTCCGAACTTTCATGCGGTAGGTCTCATACAGCAAGCGTAGGAACAGCCGAGACAACCAACAGGATCTCCTAAGTTGATGTCTTTCACGTTTTTGCCCTTGGCTACTACGAAGCCAGTGTTCTCGTGTCCAATCGTTATAGTATCAGTTGGGGGTTCCTCGGCAGTATGACCCCAAAAGAGCATCTGCGTCTCATCTCAGCGTCAATCTCATTCATACGAGGTGCGAGCACCACAAACCAGGTCCGAGTGACACAGGGAGGCACATTTTGTTTTGATGAGGATTTCATTATCGTTGGGCGACGGAATAGGAATTCTATTTACTTCGACTTTGTTTGTGATCTGTTGTCACACGTGATCAGCGGTTGGTCTAAAGCTTCATGAATGGGGGTTGGGACCGTGACGAACTTTATTGTACTGAGCTGCGAACATTAGCTCCTGGTCCTGCGTCGAACCCATTTTCCTGGGAACTTCAAGTGATGAAATATCTGGGATGCAGGGCCTCGGTGCCAAATACCTTTTGTTGGGAATCCGTCACGTAGGTCTCAGATGGTACAAAAGGTTTGTGAGGTTAAGCCGAATCTGTACACTTGATCAAGTATATATGGCGGTGCTATTGTGGTAAGCAGAGTCAGTGCCTATAATAGCAGGTCATGTCAACCTGGCTATTAGCTGTTACTTAGTCAGTGGAGAGCTAAGTTCACCCCTCCAAAGACCAGGCAGCCGGACCTGACTCATGTGCGAGGCGGTGCATACTCTCGCATATCCTGGTTGTACACGCGACATCACCTACAGCGGAATTGCAAGCCTGAGGGGACAAATCAATCATACTTATTGTAGGTCACGCAGAATCAGACTATGCTCTTATTGCCGAGTTCTTGTAATAATTCGAAAATGTCAATTGTTTCCTCGTTTAATGGAACCATTTTCGGGTGTTTAGCTAGATTCTGCCGCGCTCAAGAAATTTATTCGGTATGTCCACCATCTTACATCGTAGATACTCCGCCAAGTTTTTACCAAGTACGTCGTATGTCGAACTCGACGCGACGCCGCGATCGAGGTGATCTTTGAGCAAGAAATGCACAGCTACGAGGGTAAGTTGTTAGTGCAAGTAAGCAATTGTAGCTGACAAGATTACTTCTGCATACCTGCGATGTTTGGAAGTTCAAAGCGGAAAATGGGCTTTCCTGTGTCATCTTCGCCTAACAGCTCTCTTACCTTCTCAATAGTCAGGAAGCTCCGCAGCCAATCCCATTCATCGGCATATCGCACAAAGAACCCAACGTTAGCATCTGAGCCTTTGTCACCAGATCTGGCGTGAACGATGTAACCCAGCGGAGCCTTTGTAGTTGGATGTAGGGTGACTAAATCGAGCGGGTTTGTTGTTTCGTATGTGTCTTGCTCGTAGAGAAAGTCTTCGGTATCAGTTGGCGCGTCAATTGCCACCTGTATACCTTTCGCAGGCAGATAGCAGATATGTTGAAGATTCTTCTGCGGTAGAATTGAAACAAAGTACTCGAAATACGGCTTTGGACTGGCCTGTCTAGCGTCTACAGCAAAGGTAGCACCAGGGTAGCTCTGCATAATTGTATCTGTTATGGGTCGGAAGAAGCGGCTTAGCGACAGATCCTCTTCATTTCGTGCTTGCGCAAAGATCCGAAGGTCGACAGTCGCAGAATCTTGATTCTTAGGGTTATCAGGGCACCGTCCATTGACTCGGAATTTTAGACAATGATATTTTGACTCGTCGAGTCGGGCTCGAACTTGTCGTTCCAGAAGTTGAGCTTTTTCTTCAATATCAAGACCGCATAAGAAGTAATGTGCTTCTGCCTGGTAACCTCCTTTTGCTGTAATGCCGACTTTCGTTGTTGGAGGTGGCCTGTGTCCATGGATATTGGCAATAAGCCTAGGTAATAATGGATATTAGCGACGGTATTTTGCTTGCTTATACCAATCAAATACTCACACACGGTTCTCGCTGACTTGCTGGATTGTGATCTGATCTAGTTGGGCTACTACATCGGAATTGTAATACAACGGGCCTTGTATTTCATATAGAAGCTGAGCTTTGCAAGTTTCGGGTGTCACCATGCCGTCGTGGTTCTTCTGTTTCGTGATGTAGAATGTGCCGTTCTCCGAGATCTCCGCGATGGGAAATCCAAGATTCAGTGAAAGACCTGGGAGGCTTTTAAATCCCGAGAAATTTCCTCCAGTGACATAAGTCGAGCACTCGATAAAATGACCTGCAACGAATGCATGGGCAAGCTGTTGATAGTCCTCTCGTTTCCAGCCATATGTATACGCGGCGCAAGCCATCGTGGGCGAGGCATCTGCTACACGACCGCACAGGACGATATCGGCGCCGTGCTTAAAAGCCTCAACAATCCCCCAACAACCGAGGTAACACTGGGCATAGATGGGCTCGAATTCCCATTCGGCAAGTTTCCGGCCTTAGGATAATTAGGCTTGTATGTACTTCAAACACTTAGGGCTCCCATGAAATAATTACCAGTGGTGATACTCTTGAATTCCTCTCCCTCCTTCACACTGCTGGTGACCATGTCGAAAACTTCGTCCCCGCCAACCCACGCTACTTGAAGGTCCAAGCCAGCAGCCTTGATCTTATCCACCACGACTTTGTACAACTTCTCTGTGTCACTGGCGCCAGCATTAACTGCCACTTTGATTTTATTGGCCTGTAGGTGTGGTAAAGCTGGGTCCAGAGCTTCGAGGAACGAGATCTCGAACTCGTCAGAAGATCCTTTGCTGTCAATCTTGGCACCTCCTCTTGTAGTCATGTTATACTCAGACATCCAGTCGCCAACGATGAACTGAATTGATTCATTCTTCGCGAGATCAGCAAATCCATCGCGCCGGTCAGTGACGGAGCCGGACGCTGACGCGATACGTATGCCCGTAGTATTGATTGAGCCCATTGTGATCACCAATCTTTGGAACAAGTGCGCTTGATTCACGATGTTATTGACAATTGAGGTGATTCAGAACGTTAGCGATTTGAAGTGAACAGCTTGCGCTCGTCTAGGTGCTATATGGCGAGAAAGATTGTTGTTGACCGAGGTTACAGATTCGGGTTCCAAAAGGTAATTAGTCATGTCAGAGATCAGGCCTCCCCGCACCCCCACGCGTCCCAGACATTATTCCTATACCAATACTTTTGACTACTTTGGCCTTGTGGTATGGGGCTAATTTGGTTAGCGATTAACTTGTCTAGTTCATGGGGGCATGATCATTATGATAGGTGCAGCTTTCATACGAGGGCTCGTGTACATAATCAAGTCTTTCCTTGAGAAGCATGGGCCCTTCTCATGCTTGCTTGTCTTATTCCACCGTGTAATATGCATCATCGATCAGTACTTCTTTTGGCGCCAGATGACCTTTTCCCGGCTCCTGATCCACGGCCGTGCAGATTGTCAATGTCTTGCCCAGAAAGTGGAGGTGTAGGAATTGCTCGCTTGTGCTGTCTCCACTGATAATGTCTTGCGCTGAGTTGGCGAGACTGTGTAATCTTCATCTACTAAACACAGCGAGCATGATTCGACGTGACGAGCGATTCATCTGGGTACAAGTGAACGCACAGTCAGCTACCCTCACACAACTTTGATCAATCGTCATGATTTATATTACGTCTCCTACTCAACTCATGATTACTTGTTCTTTCTAGCAAAGCCAATACATGTGCTGCGAACAAACGCGTGACTTTTGATGACTACATATGATAATTCAAAGCCTGTCGTGCTCAAAACAAGATGAATTCTTTTCTTTGTAAGGGTGGTAGGTTGATCAAAGCAGTATCAACCAACTACTAAAAAACCATATTGATCAAGCTGAGGCTTTCAGTGGAGGCTACCTGAGGAAACTGATAGAAAAGCACGCAGCATGAAGTAATATTCTCTCCCTCACTTGATAAATTGAGTATCACACGAATCGATACAGCATTCTCGAATCTATGTATCGAGATTGGATAACCTCAAAATGATTGAATCCCAAAGAAATTACTTTGCTCGAGCGTTGGTTAAGACGCAAATGCCACTTGTGCTGTGACTACTCCATGAAATCCATAGATCAAGAAGAATACATCTTCCTTTCAGTGAAGTTATCAGTCAGGATGTCAAAATACTTAGTCATTCTAAGCTTCTTCGACGCACACGGGAGACTCATTATCCTTCTCGTTGTGACGGCTCTCGGAAATGACGGTCTGGGCGAGCAAACTATGTTTGACCTCATCTTTGGCGAAAATAATGTCAATTTCCTCCAGAGTCTTTCCAGATGTCTAAATGCAGAATTAGCAAATGTAGAGTCGAATTTCACGGAACTCTTTGGGTTACCTCTGGGCATGCGAAGTATACGAAAAAGATGGCCAAGAAGCATGAAAGAGCCATCCATATCCAAATCTTCCAACCAACATTCTGGAGGGCAATTCCACCTGCAAAGACGGTGATGAAGGAAAATAGCCATTCGCCAAAAGCTCCAGCGGCAGCGCCGGCGTGACGGAGTTTAAGAGGGGCGATCTGTTTATATTTGTTTTAGCGAAAGTCGCAGCGTGCAGATAAAATGATACGAATGCACTTCAACTTACCTCGGGACCATACAGCCAGCAAACTCCAATCCATCCATACCCGAAGATAGTGTTGTAAACAAAAATAGCTGCGACTGCCGTCCACTGAGTTGCGTTTGTACGGTGAGGAAGTCCGATCATGGTAACAAAGATAACCATGCAAATGGTAAGGGCGACGGCGGAGTACATCATAATGTTACGTCGTCCAAACCTTTCGATTGTGAATACAAGTGGTATCGTGCCAGCTGCGAATAGTGTGTTCATGAGGGCAGCTAGCAGCTGAGCCATGAAGGGGGATAAGCCAACTTGCGAAAAGATGACTGTACTATAATATACGGAGAGATTGATACCTATGGTTCATTTGCCCGTTAGTCTCAACTACAATTTGAGTTGGTGTCTGATCTGGTGCCAGCCAATCTTACCCATCATCTGTTGGATCGCGAGAATCAAGAATGAGATGCGAATGCGTCGACCAACGCGCAGATCGCTGCGGTCCCAAAACAGGTCGAGGATCTTAAATCCGCGATCTTTGTCCTCTTCTTCCAGAGCAATGCTAGCGAGGATGGCGTGCTTCATGTTTTGAACACGATGGTCGTCTAGCGGTGCGTCGATAAGTCTCCCTAGAGTCTCGTCTCCTTCTGCTATGCGGCCCCGGGCATAGTACCATCGTGGTGTATCCGGAAGCAATAGCGTCAGACCGCCTGCGCAAACGGCAAACAGGATCTGAAGTCCGATGGGAATGCGCTGACATTGAATCAGCATGGTATGATAGCTATGGGGAATACAGTCGCCACATCTTACCCAAGAGATTTGATTGTCCATCCTAGTGAAACCGAAATCGATCCAGTAGGCAATGGCTGCACCAGCCACTAGAAAGACACACGTGTACGCGACATCAGGACCACGCTCGTTATTTTCAATGCCCATTTCGGCCTGGTAGGTCGGAATAGAGCAGGAGATGAACTATATGTGTGAGAACAGAACACCAATCGAGTTTTGTCTGGAACCCTTCTTACACCAATACCAAACCCCTAATATCGCCGTCGTTAGTAGATTGACACAAGAGCTGAACTTTGATTCGGTTCACGAGACTTACGCAAAAGATTCGGCCCACAATCATGTGGGGAACAGACCAAGCAGACGCCTGCAAGCTACCGCCGATGATGACCAGGAAGTTACCAAAGAGGATACATTTGCGTCGACCGAGAGGGAGACCAATGACTGTCACTACAAGCGAGCATACAGTTGCGGCCAGAGTGTACGCTGAAGCAATCATGGGGATGACATAGGTCCCAGTCGGGTTCTAGTGTATCAAAAGTGAGCAGTTAGCATGGATTTCATTCACTTGCACGACATCTTTGGAGTTGCCGTACGCCCATGGCAGCGAGGTAAGGCTTTGTTTCTTGGACGCCGCCGAGGACGCCTGCATCGTATCCATATAGACAAAACGACTGGACTTATCATCAGCAGCAGAATCCCAGCTTTTAGTGTGGTACTGACTATGGCGCAGCTGGTCGATAGGATACGTTTGATCACCTTGCCCCTAATGTGTTTCTTCAATGACGAGAACATTTTGTCAGATCGACAATGTAAGGTTTTTCAATTGAGGTTGATTTGCTCGATTTAGCTCATGGAGATATGTTCATGGATGTTTCTGGAATCGAGGCGGATTGTCGGTACATAAATGGTTTCGAGACTCCCGAAGCTGGGCTCTCCCAGGCTGGACAACTGAACGGCAAAGTGCCTACGGACCTGTCTTGATAAGGGGTACAAATCTAAGTCTCGCAAAGGATACCATGTAGACTGCTCCGCCATCCCCAGGTCCAAGTCGCTCTTCGCGGATTACTATCACTACCCCAGCCCACTACCCCAGCCCACTGCCCCAGCTCACTACCCCAGCTTACTACTGCGTAGTACCCCAGAGACGCCAAGGTCACCTTGGTAACGATGCATCCGGTGACCACATCCCAAAGACTGAGATTAGGGCCAGGGATTCAAGTTCCGAAGCAGGGATTGATCACTCTTGGCGGGCTAAGCTCGTTTTAGGGTTAGATTAGGCCAAGGTCCCGAGGGCGCCCCTAGGTTGCGACTAGGGCAAAGAGCCATGATTCATGACACCGCACAACGACCATGCGTCATGGTGCGCGAAAAAGCTCATGACAAATGAGGAGGCCATACGAAAAAAAGTCTGTGGTACGGTCTAGAGACCAACGATTTTTAGAATCAGTATTTCTCTTGAGGACGAGGATGCATCACCTGCAAAAACATCACCAAATTCTAGACGCCCGAGAACGACTAGTCAATTCATTGCGTATACGGAGTTGATACGTCGCAAGCATGGCCGAGTCAAGACTATTCAAACCCATCTCTATCGGAAAGCTCGTGTTAAACCATCGCATGGGAATGTGCCCTTTGACACGCTACCGTGCCACTGATGATCACATACCTACGCCTGATTTCAAGGACTATTACAGTCAGCGGGGATCTGTGCCCGGTACTCTTCTGATTTCCGAGGGAACATTCATTGCTCCAGAGCACGGAGGATATGCGAATGCCCCAGGCATTTACAACGATGTCCAGATCAAAGCCTGGCGCGGGGTCACTGATGCTGTTCACGCCGAGGGCTCTTTCATCTTCTGCCAGCTATGGGCATTGGGTCGTACAGCAAGCGTCGAGGTGGCAGAGCGAGAGAATATTGCATTCAGAAGCTCGAGTGACATTGCATTGGACTCGCAGCATCCAGCGCCAACTCCATACACTATTGAGGAAATAAAAGTAGTTGCACAACAATACGCACAAGCTGCGAAAAATGCCATCGAAGCTGGCTTCGATGGCGTCGAGCTGCATGGCGCAAATGGCTATCTCATCGACCAGTTCGTCCAGGGTGTCTGTAACAGGCGAACCGATGCCTACGGGGGAAGCGTCGAAAACAGATCGAGGTTCGCAGTGGAGGTAGCACAAGCGGTCTGCGAGGCAATTGGTGCTGACAGGACGGGCATTCGTTTCAGCCCCTGGAGTGTTTACAATGCAATGAGAATGGAAAATCCGATACAACAATTCACTGATGTCATCAAACGGATGAACGCTTTAAAGCTCGCTTATGTTCATTTGGTCGAATCACGTATTGCGGGAGCTTCTGACGTTGAAGCTGCGGATTCACTTGCATTCGCAATTGAGGCGAGAGAAGGTCCGGTGTTGATCGCCGGAGGATATACGCCCGAGACGGCCCGGCAGGCGGTGGACAAAGAATACCCAGACCGCGATGTCGTTGTGATGTTTGGGAGATATTTCATTTCGACGCCTGATCTCCCGTTCAGGATTCAATCGAATCTCGAACTGAATAAGTATGACCGGTCAACATTTTATACACCTATGTCTCCTATTGGTTACATCGACTACCCTTTTAGCGACGAGTTCGCGAAGAAGTCACTATTTGCAAAGTCAGGATAGCTTAGATTATAGAACAATATCTTATCATACGCATCCCATCTTTTGTAAACTTAATTGAGTCGGGGTAGCAATTTATTCCCATCCTGTCGAGGAGTGATCAGCTAGAGATAAATTCAATATATGTGACTCCATCATTGGGAGAAATGTGATCGCTGCTTTCAAACTGTCTGGTGCTTGCACCTCCATTTTCATGTAACGTCGCCCGCATCCCGTTGTACTTATTGCCAGTGCCTGTTTTGGCGATAGAGAATCTGATTGAGTATTGATCACCTCAGATAAGAAGGCACTGCTAGCATATCTTGAAAATCTGTGGACCGAGCAAAGCTCTGCCACTCTTCCAGGGAACGCAAAGTGGTCTCACATTTCCTCCTCATGACGGTGACCGCATCAGAACCTAATGGTATGCGCAATGGCAACTGAGTTCCTTTTTCGCACGGAAGATACATCGTCTGTGCTAAGTCCACAATTCTTTCAACAGCCATGGCAGGATCACCAGGCTGTGCACCTGTAGTCGCAGCGTGAATTCTGGCCATGTCTGCTTTTATGGCGGCATAACAAGGCTCGCCCTGATCTGGGTCTAGCTCGGCCTTCTTCTTGTCTAGAGCAAGAATATTAGTGCGGAACTGCCCGATCACCAGGAGATGCACTCGGATTCCCAAATGTTGTATTTCTTTTGCAAGGCATTCCACCGCGCCTATGACACGAGCACTTGTTAACAAGCAGGATTCCGCTTCACAGAGCAACTCGGGAATAAAGCGAAGTTACCTTCAAGGGCAAACTTGCTAGCGCTATAAGGCCCGCCGCCAGCAACACCGTGCCAGCCAGAGATACTTCCCATGAAGAAAATCGTACCGCTTCCTCGCGAGCGCATGTGTGGCAGAACGCATCGTGTTAGGTTGAGTGGGCCGTGTAAATTGGTATCGAATTGCGCCTTGATTTGTTCGTGGCTGCAACTCAGTCAAAATCAGGTGTTGAACTAGGAGCGATGAAGGTGCCTCTCGACCTCAGTTCTTCCCAAACTCCAGAGAGAACATAGCCAGCATTATTGACGAGAATGTCGATGCCGCCATATATTTGAATTGCATCACGGATCCTGCTACTCAGCTCGGCTTGACTGGCTGTTACGTCTAGTTGTAACACCTTCACATTACCGATAGACTGGCAGTAATCCAAATCTTGGGTGCGACGTGCTGTGGCAATGACTCGATCGCCCCGCGAGGTCGCAGCTAGAACTAGTTCGCGGCCAAAGCCAGAAGAACACCCAGTGATGAGCCAAACTTGACCACCGGGGCTGCCTGTCGGATCTTTGCCTGTGTGCATGATTATCCTGTTCCGTAGTCACGAGATATATTATACAGATAGGATTTAATATACTCTGGAGTCTCGTTCGGTTTCGTGGAATCTATTGTGTGTCTAAAATACGGGGAGATCCTTTCCCCGGTGCTATGGCGCACAGCTCCCTGCACTGGACCGCGGCTTGCAAACTATCAGAGCGGATTGGTGGCCGAGACTGACTGACTCATGACAGAGGAGCGATTTTTTCATTGACTCGCATTTGACTCGAAACATGACGTAACATAGTCTACCTTACACCGAATTACCGGAAGTCCGCCGTGAATGAGAAATTCATATTTAAATTCCTATCTAATTTATTCAGGTATCTAGCCCCGGCTCTTGAGATTTTGTTGCTGGTTTTCGAGGCTAGCCGCCTCACACATGATCCTCAAGCCGTCACTGGCATACTCAATTTGATCCCTGAAGAAAAATTCGTTGCAAAATACTTCAACAGCCAAACCATAGTCTTGGCCCTCCAACACTTCACGACCCTTCGAATCCTTCATGTTACCGCCCGCAACGAGCATCCTCACAGTAGACACAATAGTCTCCACTGGAGTCAGGTACTCTTCTGGGAAAGTGTCCCAGCTAGAGAGCAGATTGGTTCGCACCGTGCTTGGGCAGAGAGCGTATGTGCGAATGTTGTCCTTGTAGAATGGAGCAGCGATAGATCTCATGAATCCAAGCACCCCATGCTTAGAGGCTGTGTATAGAGGATTAAACTCCTGGGCATACTGCATGATGTCATCAGCTAGTATTCACAGGGCACGGTCCTGGGCAGACATGGGCAGGACTCACAAATGAAGCTATGCTTGCTGTAAGAACTATTACGGCATCTTTGTCAGGGTGTTGGCACGCGTGAAAGTACTGCGCTGCTAGATAACAAGTATTGATGACAGATTTTAGATTGATGTCGATGCTGTTTTGACGCGGTTCTGGAGGCGGGAGTGCATCTGATCTGCTGTAGTAATTTTCCAATTGAAGTATTCCGGCATTAGCAAATACAAAATCAAGTCTGCCCTGGGCTTTGAAAACTTGATCAAATGAAGAAGACAATGATGCCCAGTTTGTGACATCAACTTGAATAAAATAGAGTTTAGGGTTCGTGCTGGCAGCGGTCTCTCGTGAACCCGCGCTCAAGTCCAAGATGTACACGATCCAATCATCAGATAACAAAGACTTGACCACTTCGAACCCTATCCCGGATGCTCCTCCCGTCACGATGGCAACTTTTTCAATGCCCATGCTTTGAATTGTTATTCCACAAGTATAATGACCAGTGTTGTTAAAGAAGGAGAAGGGTTACAGGTCAGCGGCTTATCAACTTTGATGGCCTCACTAGGGATGTTTGGCTTCTTAAAGCATTATCTGATATATACCCTGACATCCCCAGGCTTAGGTCGACACGAATGCGGGGAAATTGGGGGCAACATCTCCGCTACTGGGGAAAAGGCCCCCTGACTCATGTCCCGCTACGCTATTCTACGATTGCTATTAACATCGCGACGGATTGTTTGATCACTTACGTGCGTTACCGACATTAGCACCAAGATTTCGAGGGTCGGATTTGATTCCCGAGTCTCTCACATGTTTCACAGTCCACGGCTATCACGGAAATAGGAGCTGACATCAGTCAACCTCCAAAGCAGATTGGCATATACGTAAAGGCCCAACGCATAAGCTATTTCGCTAGATTTTTCACAGTACTCATAGCTCAGCAATCATAACAATCATCATTGACAATGCCTTGGAAACAGATTGAACACGAGTTCACCCATCCTCAGCTGAACTACGACTCAAAACCCAACTTCCAACGTTGCATTAAGGTATCTGTGTACTTTAAAAAGATCGACTCTATCGATCACGATACTTTCTTTGGTCATTGGAGAACAGTACATGCCGATCTTGCCACAGCGACCAAAGCTTTCAAAGATCATATTGTTCGTTATGCACAAGTAGGTAGAAATTTATATCCTAGGAATGACAAAACTGATAAGCCAATAGCACCATCAAACCCCAGAGATGAAGGAGAGGGCTCGAAGCCTTGGCGAGAACGTGCTGGAATATGATGGATGTGCTCAGCTCTGGGTGAGAACTTGGGACGACTGGCTAGCATTCTACAACAGTCCAGAGTACGCGGCTGCCCTGAGTGATGATTGCGATAGATTTATGGCGTTGCCTATGACTTATATGGTTGGTTATGAGAATCTCGTAGTTGGTACTGCTTCTACTGAGATAGGAGGTAACGATGGTCCTGTGTAATTTCTAAGGGTCATCACGACTCGCGTAGCAGATACTACTAGTCACTATCCCTTGTAATGAACAAGTCTTCAAAAGAAAAAAGAACCGAAATTAAATATCTCCAAGCCTTAGTGACTAGAAAGTATCACAATGCCGTCTTCCCGAGACTATCTGAACTACACACCTCGCCAGTCAAAGCGCAGTGGTCGGAGAACATTGCAAGTTGTTGCTCAGGGTTTATACAATTGGCGGTTTTGGAGAAGTATTTTTCTGAAGAAGATCAGAATGAGTGGACTCTAGATTTGGCAACACTAGTACAAGGATCATCTCATCGGGATCATTCACATCTACTTCAGTATTCAAGTTATCCAGAGACTTAAATGCAGCAAATCACCTTTGACAACATCTTGTCTGAGTAAGACAGTCATGCAGACAGCCATACTAGATATCCGTCGGATTCAAATGAGTGAGCCGCCAGTGTTCACAATTCATATCCCGACGCATCTATAACCAACTTAAAACATGGGGCTTACTGTTCAGACAGTTCATAGATATGTAATTATAGTAGTAGAGTAAGTTCTTAAGTCTCGACTGTGAAATAATACTCTTGGCCGCCACTCAAAGTCTTTTTGAGATGGCCGAACTCAAAAGTTTCCGTTGGTACCACGAGGCGTCATCACAGACACTTGCATCGTCTTGGAACCACTCTGTATATGCCAACTTCGAGGCCGGCGAGTGCTGCTACATATAGCCGAGGCAGTGTTTGTCGAGGGCTCTTGTCCCACGGTGAGTCTGGGTTGAATATTCGGCCCCAGTTCGTATATCCATACTGGTCGGTGGACGCCGCTTGGGCAAGAGCTTGCATATTGACATACGTACTAGCCAGCTACGTTACATGAATCGTGAAGTTGAAGAAGAAGCAACGATATCGTTTTACCACCAAATGCTCGAAAATCTGGAATCTAGGCTTACAATCTTACGCCCTTGCCCATCGTCTGAATGTTTCTATTGAGTACGTGATTACCTTTTACGTCGGACCGTGATAGTTGGCCAGGTGTGAATAATGGCCTTGCAGGACAGACGGTCGTTGACCCAGAGACTTTCTCCATCAGTTCAATTGCCTAGTGAGGACAAGTCAGCCGGAGGATTGGCTCGAACGGGAAGGAACAAGTCGTCCATTCCCTGAATGGAGCGCCTAGAACCGCATCTGCGGGATCAAATCAAGGGAGCCCTTGCGTAAACCATCGATAGCCGGTGAACCAGGATATCTCGTAAGTTATTAAGGTGAGAGAGCCTGCTTCTGATAGTGAACAAATCATCCACTAGTATTGTGGCTTACAGGAACAACTTGTCCAGGGGTTGCACTTAGCATTATGTGATGGAATTGATGTACAATAGCTCATTCATATACTATCTGAAATGAC